CTCTCACGGATGTATGGCCAGGTGGGGCTTTGTTCGCTCCCCCCTCTAGGCTCTGAGTTCCCAGTGAGCAGCGTTTATGTCTCCCTGTACCCCTGCCTTCAGGCCACCAATTTCTGAATAGATGAATCAGTTACTGCCCGTATCTAGCAGGTTCTACCTTAGCAATATCTTTTTACATCTGCTTCCACTGTGCTACCCTGTATTAAGTCCTTACACATGCTCGAAGGAATGCCACTCATCAGTTCCTGATTACTGTTTATCTCAGCTATTTTGACGTTCTCCTAACATGTGTCCCCCCCCCCTCTAGTCTGGGGATGGCACAGAGTGAAATTATCACCCTTCCATTTCTCTACCCACGGCAAAAACACCACGAATCCCAGTGCTGGGTCTGTTCTCAGCCTCAGAATCCTTCTCAACACAGTTCTCTTGGCAGGGGGTGCTAATCAGTTAGTTTGGGCGACTACCGCTGCCAGATTTCCCAGCAATGTAATTATGGTTAGATGTCTTTTCCGCTCCAAACCCGTTGGGCTCCTTGATTACCTCCGGAGTAGGCACTGGCTCCACGAAGTAGTATTTCAAGGTTTTCTCCAAATTTCACTCCATCCTGATTTACCACCGTTTCTCCAACTGGACTATGTGGGTTTTCCCAACATAACCCCTTGATTTCTCTCCGTACCTCTGTCCATGCCGCAACTTCCACTGAGAATTTGCTGCTTCCACTCACCCATCTGCCCCAATTCATACCCTAGCCCCTGGCTCAATTTAAGCATCACTTCCTCGATGTCAGTGGGTCTCAAAGTGTGGACCCTGGCCAGCAGCATCAGTAAGCACCCGGGCTGGTCAAAACATACTTTCCCAGGCCCCACTCGGGACCTAGTGAACCAGAAACTCCGGGGCGGGGCCCTACGGGTAACTCCAGCACGGGCTCAGGTTTGAGAGCAGTGCTCCAAGCTGTGCTTTCCGCTCTCCCCAGCCTGCTCTGCTCTCTCCTTCCCACAGCAGTTGAGGCTGGGCACAGCACTTCGCCTGCTGCCCAGCATCCTACCTTTGTGGCCTCGTCTCGCTTCCCCCTACCATCACTCGGGTTGGACGAGGCGCTTCGAGAGAGAACCTGCAGCCTTACCCAAGTCTGTGGTCTCTGCCACACCTGGCACAGCCTGGCACCAAGAAGGTTCACAATCAGTGCTGGACCCTGAATCCAGTTTCAGCTCTCACCTGGGTAAAGGAATGCCTTACGGTTGCTTTTCCTCAACTCCAACCTTGAAGCCTTCTAACTTCCCCACTGACAACATCCTGAGAGTTTTCCAGAGTGGCAGGATTGGTGCAGACCGCGTCCTTGGGCTTCAGATGAAGAGGATGGTCTCCTAAACTGTGCCGTTTCCTACCCCAGACCTCACTTAGCCCACATTTTTGTAGCATTAGAGCCACCCGGCTGATAAGAGAAAAGGGAGAGGCAATGATTGGTCACCTCCTTCACAGGAAAGAAGCAGGGAGGCTGCTCCTGAACTGCTTTATGTGACCTGTTTATGCCCGCCCCCCCCGATTTGTGCTTGTGGGGAGAGAGGGTTTGGAACTATCAGCAGACAGATACAGACATAACAGCATTTTAGAGGAACAATTTCTCTTCCCAAACCTGTGTTCTAAAGATGCGGTGATAACTCTGATGTCCAGGGTCTGATTCAATACTTTTCCAACGGGAAACAAGGTAGAACCACAAATCATGAAAAGCTGAAATGGGGCTCAGTGGTGTTCCCACAAAAGGCCCACGTGGTTGCTATTACCTCTCTTAATCCTTCACTCTGCACGTCAGAGAAACGCCTCAGAGCCGAGCGAGATGCCTCCTAGTCCAGAATTTGGCTTTAGTGCTACACACACACACACACACTGAACTCTGGATAAAGATACCTACATTAAGAGCAAGACTCGTGATATTAATAACAGGCTAGGTGGTGCCAAAAATTACGAAACTGAGAATCTCTAAGACCTTTTCTACAACAGCTTATATGCCAGAGGTGCAAGGAATAGATCACTACACTAAACCCTAAGCGGAATCGAAGTCAAAACGTGAACTTTGCCCTGCACATTCAGCCTGCTTTTAGGAGACGTACAAATTCCAGGAAAGTTCATCGTTAGGGTGTTCTCCAACCGATCTGCAGGAAGGCAGTACACTTGACTAGATTTTTCACTTTCTCCACCTGGAGTCCTCCAGTAAGATTTGGTATTTAATGACGGAATGCCATACCTGAATTGTTTGACCGCTTTAAATTTGGGGTTGGGGGGGTGAAGGACTCTACCTCGTTACACAATTCTCTGAAGCTCTGTCTCCATCAATCAGAACGTTCAATGAATCAGAACCTCTGACCACACTGGACACATGTTTGCTAAATTTAGCTTTGCATCAGCAAGCACTCAGAATAGTTCATGGAGCGCTCAGCTTACCCTTAGACAGTGATTCTTCTAAGACTGCTTTTCCATGGCAGGCCAGCGCAGGGCCAGGGGCACTCCATGTGCTCTCTCGATGGCCATTGTTATGGGACCGGCCTAAGGTGAAAGAAATCCGACAGGCCACGGTGAAGATGTCTATCCCCTCCTCTCCACAGTGGGGAACAGGAAGGTAGCCGTATGCCACATTTCATGAGTTACAAGCAGTCTGTAGTGATGACCTGACATGCTCGATGGTCCTTGAACCACATCCCACATTACTCAGCCGTCCAAGTCTAGCGTCCCTGAATCTCTTGCTTCTCTGAATTAGATGTGGCGAAGTTCTATAAATAGAGAGAAAGCAAACTGGTTCTGTCAATCTTCTCATACTCTGGCAGGGTAACATATTTTAAAATTATAAAAATATCTATGTCTTCATCACTCTAAAGTTATTACATAACACATGATTTTCTGAGGGGGGGAAAAGATTTATTTTTGTCTCTCCCTACCTTCCAACACCGGTGGAGCTTCAAACTTTGTCATCAGTTTCATCAAACTAGCATATGCAAATCGAAGCCAAAATTCAGGGCCTACTATGTGCCCAACTCTGTGTTACACAAATAGAGAAATGGAGGGGAAAAAACCCGAGTCTCACTTTAAATCCCAGACAGGCCATAGTAACTTGTGTCGGCATGTACCTAGGTCACATTAGATAGACTTTTTTTTTTTGAGAGGGAGAGGGGTGGGGAGGGGCAGAGGGAAAGAGAAAATCTTAAGCAGGACCCTCGCCCAGTGCAGAGCTCAACTCGGGACTTGATCTCACAACCCTGAGATCATGACCTGAGCTGAAATCAAGAGTCGAACACAAGCGACTGAGCCACCCAGACCCCAGGTAGAATGCAACTTTTACTGCACTACCAGCTCACGATCACTCTTCTTAACGTGTGCCTTTCGTAGACAAGCACCGGACACTTTATCCCCTGGAAGGGGCCAACAGCCCCAGAAAGCTGAGGTCTTTATTTTTTTTTTAAGTTTTTGTTTTTGAGAGAGAGCAAGTGAGCGAGCGCGCGTGCATGTGCATGCGTGCACAAGTGGGGGGAGGGGCAGGGGGAGAAGCTGACTCCCCGCCGAGCAGGGAGCCCGATGCGGGGCTCGATCCCAGGACCCTGGGATCATGACCTGAGCCGAAGGCAGATGCTTACCCGACTGAGCCACCCAGGCGCCCCAAAAGCTGAGGTCTTGAAAAGGTCAGTCGATATTATACTTATATGTGGTAGATTCCAAAACTGTGAGTTTGACAAACTCTCCAATTACTGTTTATGCCTAACGTCAAGTACGGCTTCCCCCAACACATCCCCTACTAAAAAACAACAGAATCACACATTAGCAGACTTTATAAATAAATCATATTTTAATCACCTGGCTTTGTTTAATCCACAAAATCACATTCACAGCTTTTTCTAGTCTGTCTCCCCTCCATGTGACCTGATATACTTTTTGGAACCCTTCATGTTTCAAGAAGAACATTCTGCCTTTCATTCTGCAACCCCAGAGCCAACTTCCCTTGCATTCTTAATCAACAGCTAATGCAGTCACCTCAAAGAAACAACGATGGTATGGTGATCAACGATAGTCTCAAAGATCTTCAGAATAGTTAAAAGAGGAGGGGGGGGGAAAAAAAAGGAAGGGGGGAAAAAAAAGTCACCAAGCCAGAGAACTGCCAATGTTGCCTTTGATGATGTATCTTCCTGAATGCTCCAATCACTGAAGCCTTCCCTCCTGGTGGCTGCCCGGGCCCAGGACCTGGAGCATTCCACTCCTCCCGCCATTCCTTCTGCAGTGCTTAGAAGGCGGTGCTGGAGGGGTCTGAAACTCGTTTCTGCTGGTGACCTAAGGAGTTCCCACTCCACGCAAGGCCAGGAGCGGCTGTCAGCCTGTGCGCCGGCACCAGCCAGCCGGGGCGCCATGCGCCAGTCTAGAACCGTGGCAGTGGCTACCACAGTGAAGGTCAATGGCATGCATTACCAAGTGTCTACAAACACAGAAATAGGGATTTTTATTTATTTCCCATCCTTCCTTTGGAAACGTTCCCTGTGGGGGACCTCCCACTCCCAGCCCTGGAAGTCACACAGGCCCTCAGAGCTTCACCGCCTAACCTTTCACATCCTTTCCCCACTTGCCCACCCCGCAGTGTGACCATGTTAGCAGTGATCTGTTGGGCATTCAGAGACAAAGAGGGGGGAAACTACCTTGTTTTGAGGGTAAAGTGTGACGACACAGCTCTGATATCTCAAGAGCTCTGAGAAAGACGAGTTTCCTCCTGGTAGGACGAATGCAAAAGCCTCCAGATACGATCACATACTGCCTCAATGGCCCAGAACAGGGAATTCCTGAAGTTTTTCTCTCTTAAACACAAACGCCCTACCCCACTCCCAAACAGCAACTTAGTAGATGAGTTTGTTTTATCCCTACCAGAGTAGGACACCTTGGCCTCCTCTATCATTGTCTAAAAATTCACCCTCGTTTTCTCAGCAGTTTCTAGTGTGAGCTGAACCACTATTTCAGATGAAATGCCCAGAGGCGTTTTTAGCGCGAGACTAAGCCGAGGGCCACTGACTCTGGCCCCAGCTACCCGGTGGCACAAATTAAATTTGCAGCAGCTTCCTTTCCTACCATCAAAAGCACCAAAGCTCAGGGTGCCAAGCTCCCTGAAAGCGGAAAATCCAGAAGCCCGAGGAAAGGTGGCACCAGCTCCTGATCTGCAGTAATCGGCTGTGACTGCAGAGGACACTCTGGAAAAGGTGGGCTGGGAATGGCGTGGTCCTTCTGCAACTGGGGCGGGTCACACAGGCCTCTGAGCCTTGTTTCGCTCCCGTCCCTAAAGAAAGTGTACTTGAAAAGCTCTCACTCCTTGTCGTCGTCCTCCTCCTCGCTCACTTACGCTATACTGAGGGAGAAAAGCCCTACCATCCGCCACGAGAAACTCAAAGTAAGGCGGCCCTAGAACTAAGTCAGGTGGCCAACGGGATGATGGGAAGTTCAGCCAAACAGAACACGGTGAAGCAGGGAAGTGTCTGAGGCAGTCAAACCCTAGCGCGAATCATTTAGTGTTCTTCATCAGATGAAAGGCCTTCGATTTCATCTCTGTCTCCCCCAATTGCCATCCAGAAGGCTTTGGCCACCTGTGGAGAGAAGCATGCAACACATTTTAGGCAAGAGCTACCCTGCAGCTTGTGTCATGAGTTAGTCAATATGCTGAACTGATCAAGGCCTAAAATTCTACCCCCTGCCCTCCAGCTCTCCCTCCCCATGTATCCAAACCCTTGAATACCCTGACCCAGGACTTCCACTTCTAGAAATTTATACTAAGGATGAAATCAGAGTTATATACAAAGGTGGTGGATGTGTAAGGTTATGCACAGCTTCACTATTTACAGAAGCAAAAAATGCACATGACCTAAATGTCCAAAAGGGAAATGGATAAATTAGGACACATTCATACAATGAAATACCATAAACCACATACATTTCCTGCCAAGAACATGTGTTGCGTTGGTAATAACAAAACAAAACAAAACAAAACAAAACGACTAAGGGTTTTCCAGCCCAACAGTTAGGAAGGCAAACATCCTGAGTCTCAGTGAAATTCCCATGTCACTCAACATACATTTGAAAAATCTTGGTTTGACTACAGCAATTATATTACTACTGTGTAAACATCCAATTCGTTCCAAGTTACTATCCAATGAAAAGTCCACACTTGAAACACGTCTAGAAGTCAGCGAGTGTGATACATGCTTCTAACAGCACCGGACCTTTTCATAGATACTCAATAAATACCTGACTGATCGTCTCACCTTTTCCGCATGCAACTTTCTTTGCTCGTGAGGAAGCGTCGCAGCCTTGTCTAGGGGGAAAATAAATCTTAAGAAATTCGTCTAATAGCACAGGAGAGTCTGGAGTGTATGGATGTTCTAGAAGATGGGAGATGGGTTTCAAAGACAAATGCTTATGGTGTAGTCATTACAGCTGTTAGGGAGTTTAAGTCTTCCCGATTTTCCACATGGGGATGCTGTGAGTAAACTGGCAGGGATCTTACTGATTCCAGGTTAATGAAACACACTGAAAGAAACCGAGAGAGGCAAAAGAAGAAGGGACAGTAAGAGGGAAGAGAGTGAAGAAAGAGGAAAACTTTCCCTGGGGAATTTCTACCAATAGAGGATGACACAGTCCAGGCACCAAGTGTCTCCAGACAGCCGAGACCAGAGCATGGAATCCAATCATCGGTTACAGAACAAAATCCTACCACATAAAGTAGAGGGGCCCCGAAAGGGGAACACGTCAGACACGATGGAGCCAATTACCTTTCATTTCCTTTAACTTTGAAAACAGTCTTTCAAAATTCTCCAAATCTCCTCCGCCAGTAGTAAGACTGGCCAATTCTTGAATATCCAGATCTAACATGGGATCTGAAAAAAGGATTTGTCACGTTATTTGCCAGATGGGACTTCTACGTGTGCTAAATACACAGTCCTGAGGCAATGGATCCTAGCTCTGGCGGGAGCCAGCACTGAATGAGCACTCCGTGTGGGGGAAAGCCGCTCGGCTGCTAGCGGCCTCCTGAAAGGAGAGCAACTCACTTGATCCTTACAACATTACACTGAGGCAAAGAATATGGTTTCATTTTAGAGATGAGAAACGTAGAGCTCTGAGTTGAAGTGACTTGCTCAAAGGTCACAGCTGGTGTGAACGCAGATTCAGACTTAGGTGCTTCCAGCTCTAAAGGCCACCCTCTCCACTGAGGTGCACCGATCAACAACGGCTGTCTGGAATTTAAACCGTATTTCCCTGTACAACCAAGTATTTTCATATCCACTACTGACAGCCACTATTTAAGGTGGTTAGGACAGATATCGATGTCTGCAATTTACACATGAAGGGGCTGGGTTTAAAAATGCACTCATCTAAAATTACAGCTACTCAGAAGTAGAGTCAATTCCTATTTTCTTACTACAAATCCTAATAAAGGATTTGTAGTAAGAAAATAAAAATCCTGTGATAAGGATTTATCACAATTTGTTTTTAGTCAGAATTCTTACTCACTCTCCACTCCATGCTGAACACTTCTAGGAAGTCTTCCCTAGCCAGTCCAGCTCACAAGTCTCCTTCCCTAGAATTCATCCCACACTTTTTATTTTAGAGAAAGGGAGAGCGTGCATGTGAGCCGGGAGACGGGGAGAGGGCGAGGCGGGGAGAGAATCCTCCAAGCAGACTCCCTGCTGAGCACAGAGCCCGATGAAGGGGGCTCGATCCCACAACCCCAAGATCCCGGCCTGAGCCAAAATCAAGAGTCAGATGCTTAACTGACTGAGCCACCCAGGGGCCCCATGATTCCATTTCATTTTTGCAACAGCATTCTGAGGAAAAATTTTATTTTACAGAAAGGGAAACTAGGGCCCACAGAGGCTAAATAACTTACTCAAGATCATCTCACCACTACTGGAAGAACCATGATTTGAACCCAGTTGTCCAGGCCTCCAAGTCCACAACAGTAAGCATTAACTGCAAAGCCTGTCTCTACAGTTTTAGGGTATAATAAGCTGCTTGAAGACAAGGACAGCTTCTAATTCTCTGCATCTACTACAATGCTATACAGATAATTTGGTGTGAAGAAGGCATTTTAGCTCATAAATCTGCTTTGGTTCAGTGGACATTTCATGCAGGCAATTGATATACAGGGCTGGAGATAAAAATTTGTGATTTATCTGTGTGTACATGGTAACTGAACTGGACAGAATCACTTCATGCTTAAATATACAATTGGCAGAGGAGTTTAGATGGAGCACTGAGGAATGGCAAATCTTTAAAGGCTGGATAAAGGAGGGTCATCTACCAGAGAAAGAAAAGGAATAGCCAGAGAAGTCAGAAGAAAACCAGGAAACTTGTTGGGTGAGCAAGAAAAAATGTTTTAAAAAGGGACTGATTCATCATATTGAATGCTGCCAAGAGGTCAAGATGAGGACTGGGAAATGTCTATTAACTTCGGTGGCCTGGAGGTCGGTGGTGAACTGTTTTAGTGGCAAGTGGGGCAAAAGCTAGGTGGGAGTGAGCTGAAGACTAATGGGAGGTGAGGGATGGAAAGAAGTTCAGTAAAGAGAGGAGGGAGACATGGGGTTGACAAGTGTTTTACCCTTGTTGGTTTGGTTTTGCTTTTTTTTTTTTAATTTTGAAATAATTTTAGTATTACAAAAAAGGTGCCAAAACAGTAGGGTTCCACCTTCATCCTGTAGCGTTAACCTCTTATCTAACCACAGTATAATGACACACATCAAGAAGTTAGGAAGTGCTATTAACTAAACTACAGACTTCATTCCAACTTCGTCAGTTTTCTCACTAACATCCTGTTCCAGAAGCTTACACAGAATTTGGCTGCCAGATCTCTGTCGTCTTCTTCAATGTGGGACCATTCCTTAGTCTTTCCCCGTCTATCATGGCCTTGACACTTTTGAAGAGTACTCGTCAGCCATTCTGTAGCCTGTCCCTCAATATGGGTTTGTCAAATGTTTTCCTAGGAGACTGAGGTTATGCACCCCTGGCGTGGAGACCACAAGCACGATGAGCCCTTCCGGTGCCCCTATCAGGAGGCACGTGATGTCAGCGTGCCTTATTGCTGGTGAGCTTCACCACCACTGAAAGGCTACCTGCCGGGTTTCTCCAGGGCAAAGTTACTATCTTCCTTTTTGTACTAAGTAAATATCTTGGGAGAGCTACTTTAGATGATGGAGATGTCATGTTTCTTCTCAAACTTTCATCTACTAATTTTCACATCCATCAGTGGATCCTGATCACAACAACTATTATTACTGTGGTGTGTGGCTGCCAAGGATTTTTCTTTCCCTCACTCCTTCTACGTGTATTAATTAGAATTCTTCTATAAGGAAGAGCAGCCCTTTCTTCCCCAGTTATTTCTTCTGTTCGCCTCGAGTCACAGATATTTTGTTCTATAGGTTGCAGCCCAATACTAAATTCATTCTTGCTGGTCAAACTGCTCCAGCGTTGGCCCTGGAAGCTCTCTCCAGGGTTGGTTTGGTGCCCCTTCAACGTGCCTCCATCCCTTCCTTACTTTCTGGCCCCATGAGATGGCTCCAGGTTCATCATCCTGAGTTTTTCCTGCCCCGGCCCTAGAAACAATCACTTCCTCCAAGTGGCCCTGGGTCCTTTTACTGGCAAATGGTATTTAAAAACCAAGATCTAAATGCTAAGGGTGTCAACTGCTATAGGGAGTGTGGGTGCTTCCAGGCCCTCTCAGTGGAAATAGGTAGGAAACATATATATACGCATGTATACTAACATGCACACGAGTACCTCTGTTTATTGCTCTAACTATAAGTATGTCGTCATGCTAATACCTTGAGTTCTAGCCCAGGACCAAGGGTTCATCCCAGCCTTCTCCTTTCCTTACATGTGGCTTCTTTCTCAGTGAGAAACCTAGCTCTCATTCTCTATATTTTCTTATTTTTTCAACCGTGATATACACAAAATATACATAACTTCAGAATTTCTAAACCATACCCCTATGACAATCAAATGTATTAAGCAGAGTTCACTATTTCTGTTCAGTTGTTTCTGTTTGGGGCCTCCTGGTATCCAGTCAGAATGCTGTTTCCCCAAGTTATTTAGGGTAGTTCTTGTCTTCCCTCCCTCCTTCAGTGTGGTTACTGGTTTGTTTTCATGGCAGAGACTTCAGCAGGTCTAAAGCCAGTAAGAGGGACCCAAGTGAGAAAACAAGGTTGAATATACTAGAGAGAAAAGAGATTATATGTAATTTTTCCTTCTTAATATGTGTCTGTTACCAAACATTTAAGTTTTCTACATGGACTCTCTTCTAATCAGCAATAGAGTTTTGAACACCCTGCACGTGGGTCCTCTGTGACACAAAGAGAAAGCAGAGATGTCAGTAATTCCCCAACAAAAGAACATTTACAGTAACTGTCAACTACATTTCTTGGCTTTTGGACATCAGAATGGATTCTAGTCTCAGTTCTGGGACCTTCTTGTTAGATGCCCTTGGACAAGTTATTAAACTGCTCTGGGCCTCAGCTTCATCTCCATAAAATAAGTTCTCTGCCAAACTTCATTACCAAACACGAGAAAGTAGATATAAAAGAACTTTCAAAGGATGTGAAAGGGCTTATAAAGTTGTATTATTCTTGTTACCATCAACTCTACCAACTGTTAAATACTATGAAAAAAACTGGAATATGGAGATATAAAGCTGTCTCACCAACTGGTTCTGTCTGTCTCAGTTAAGATGATCTCAATCAAGATCCCGCTAAGAGAATCGGAGAGAAAATGGTACCCACAGATTGCTTATGTGGCTATTCTCCCTCCTTTTCTGATAACCGTCTCTAAGGCTCACATTCACTTGGGGTACACTATCAATTTTCTTCCCTTGCTCATGCGTAAAGTCGATTTCCCCCTAGATGATTTATGCCCCGTACCTCTTCCAAGTTCCACAGAGCTGTCTCCTGGCAGCTAAAGGAGGAACTTACCCACAATGCTATCAGCCTGAGCATCTGTTGTGTTAGATGCACCACCCCGATGGTCCAAGAGAGCTTCAGTCCTAGCTGCTGCTGGCAAACGGGGCCGCTGTTGAGGAAAATACACACAGGCAATAATTTAATAGTAGGCTATTTCGGAACTAAAGCCAAAAAGACTCACACTTCCACTCCCTGGTTGGCTTTAGAGAAGCAGTAATAGGAGCTAGAGACAAGGAGAGACGGAAGAAGGATCAATGTCACATAAAAAAAAAGAGGCTACAAATTCACTAACTCAGGATTATTTTCCCTTGAGAAAAAACTAGAAAGTGTTATGATTCTGCTGTTGGCTATTAAAACATGTCTTTTGTTTGCTTTAAGAGCCATGTATTATTCAAAATGTGAAAATGAACATAAGCGTATCACAAAGAGCTCAAGGCTGATGAGAAAGATGCCTGGGAAGACAATATGGCACTGTGTAATTTGCTCTTGGTTCCAGCATGCCGACCAAGGTACACTTGAACCAAAATCCTTGAGGACACAGGGTCAAAGTCAGACTATGAAGCCCACTGAGGGCAGGGGCCCTGCGTCAGATGGGTACAGAGCCTTGGACATAGGAAGTACTGACAAAGAACCATCGATTTTATTTTATAAAGATCGGGAGGGAACTTTAATTCTCAAGGAAATCCTAGCACATTTTTTAAAGCACTCTAGCAAAAAAAAAAAAAAAAAAAAAAACAAGGCACGTCCTATATGCATGTTCCGGCTATGAGGCCTCCACTCTAGTTTCCCCCTGCTTGTGTTCCCTCTCTCGCTGTCTCTCTCTCTGTCAAATAAATAAACAAAAAAAAAAAAAAAAAAAAAAAAAAAACCATGGAACAGCCCAAATTGCAAACATCTTGAAAGGGCTTACTGCTTTAATGCTGAACTAGCCTTCTCTCAACAGGTACCAGGCACAAGAAGACTGTTTTAGATTCTCTTTGTATCCTTGGTTTACTATTGTCTGCTGCCTCTTAAATGGAAAGGAAAAAATAACAAATGGTATAAAGATTCATAATGACAAGGAGAAATTAAAACCAAAGCATTGAAAGGATCCAGGAAGAATTTTTACCTCTGATGGACACGTCTCTGCTGACCCAATGCTATGGTTTGCTCCAGCCAATGAGCTAAGAAGGCTAAAGCCTTGGTTCCTATCTGAAAAGAAAACAATATAATCATTGAAATTTGTTATTTACATTTTAAAATGTTAAAATGACTGTGATGAAGAAACAATGGCTATTTCCTCATTATAAAAGTTTTAACTATAGAAACTGTTACTGTCAGACAACATCAGGAATTTATATATCTTACTCATGCTTACATTTTCTTTGTAATTACTATTTGAAAATATGAATTTTTTTGAATAAAAACTTCTTAAAAAAATCACTCACAATTACCACATTCTCTCAAATCTGAATAATGTAAAAACTCACAGACACGGGTCAAATATAATGGCAGGGCCATTACAACAAACAAGACCACTCAGTGGCTCTTTTGCAAAGGTTAACAACACTCATGTTTCTTTTCTTTCTTTTTTTTTTTTTTTTTTTTAACTTTGAGAGAGAGAGATAGAGAGCAAGAGAGAGAACACGAGCAGTGGAGGGGCAGAGGGAGAGGGACATGCAGACTCCCCACTGAGCAGGGAGCCCGACGTGGGGCTTGATCCCAGGACCCTGGGATCATGACCTGAGCCGAAGGCAGACGCTTAACAACTGAGCCACCCAGGCATGCCCCTACAGCATTCATGTTTCAACAGTCACTATGAACCAATATTCTGGTGTGTTAAACAGTATTTTAAATGTCCAGAGACATTTTTTAAAAAATCAACACCAAGGCATTATTATCAGGGGAAAAGGAACATGCATGATTTTTTTAAACAAAGCTTTAATTTTGTGATGGATGAGCCATTTGCAGTTAAGGCCCTCTCAATGTTTGTACTTAGAATGGAGGACAAATCTGGAGAACATCTAGACCTGATGACAGTACAAGCATCAGTCCTGATCACTGTGTTCCTCAGAATCACCTGGAACACCTATTAAAACTACCCTGGTATTCAAGGACCCTATCTCAGACTCACTGAGCCAGAATCTCTGGGGCAGATGCCAAGGAAGCTGAACTTTCCTTTTAGTTTTTATCTTTTTTCAAGTTGATTTACGGACATAAAAACAGACACACAGATCAATGGAACAGAATAGAGAGCCCAGAAATGGACCCTCAACTCTATGGTCACCTCATCTTCGACAAAGCAGGAAAGATATCCAACGGAAAAAAGTCTCTTCAACAAATGGTGCTGGGAAAATTGGACAGCCACCTGCAAAAGAATGAAACTGGGCCATTTCCTTACACCATACACAAAAACAGACTCAAAATGGATGAAAGACCTAAATGTGAGACAGGAATCCATCAAAATCCTTGAGGAGAACACAGGCAGCAACCTCTTCTACCTCAGCCGCAGCAACTTCTTGCTAGACGCGTCTCCAAAGGCAAGGGAAACAAAAGCAAAGTTGAGCAACTATTGGGACTTCATCAGGATAAAAAGCTTTTGCACAGCAAAGGAACAGTCAACAAAACTAAAAGACAACCGACAGAATGCGAGAAGATATTTGCAAATGACTCATCAGATAAAGGGCTGGTATTCAAAATCTGTAAAGAACTTATCAAACTCAACCCCCAAACAAATAATCCAATCAAGAAATGGGCAGAAGACATGAACAAACATTTCTACAAAGAAGACATTCAAATGGCCAACAGACACATGAAAAAAAATGCTCAACATCACTCGGCACCAGGGAAATACAAATCAAAACCACAATGAGATACCATCTCACATTGGTCAGAGTGGCTAAAATTAACAAGCCAGGAAACAACAGATGTTGGTGAGGATGTGGAGAAAGGGGAACCCTCTTACACTGTTGGTGGGAATGCAAACTGGTGCAGTCACCCTGGAAAACAGTATGAAAGTTCCTCAAAAAGTTAAAAATAGAGGATACAAACATAGTGATTCGAAGGGGCATACGCACCCCAATGTTTAGAGCAACAATGTCCACAACTGCCAAAATATGGAAAGAGCCCAGATGTCCATCAACAAATGAATGGATAGAGAAGATGTGGTATACAATGGAATACTACTCAGCCATCAAAAAGAATGAGATCTTGCCATTTGCAACGACATGGATGAAACTAGAGGATATTATGCTAAGCAAAATAAGTCAAACTCATGTGAAATTTAAGAAACAAAACAGATGAACATAGGGGAAGGGAAGGAAAAATAAGATAAAAACAGAGAGGAAGGCAAACCATAAAGGATTCTTAACTACAGGGAACAAACTGAGGGTTGCTGGAGGGGGGGTGAGTGGGGGATGACGTAACTGGATGATGGGCATTAAGGAGAGCACGTGATGTAATGAGCACTGGGTGTTATATGCAACTGATGAATCACTGAACTCTACCTCTGAAATGAATAATATACTATATGTTAATTGAATTTAAATAAAAATTTTTTAAAAACCACTTCTAACTTCACTAAAGATGGTATTAGTTGGGGGGTGAAAAAAAAAGTAGCATGCTCTTCTGACTGAGCCAGCCAGGTGCCCTGGAAGCTGAACTTTTAGCAAGTATTCCAGGATAATCTGAGGATCAGGTAAGTTTGAAAAAAAAAAAAATCATTGCCTTAGCGTAGAATGTGAAACCCACACTCCAAGGGTCTAATGGTATACAAGTCAAAGAACTTCTCTCTCAAAAAGACAACTTCCTTGCCCTTTTACGAAGATGGCACCGAAGGCTAAGAAGGAAGCCCCTGCCCCTCCCAAAGCCGAAGCCAAAGCAAAGGCTTTGAAGGCCAAGAAAGCGGTGCTGAAAGGCATCCACAGTCACAAAAAAAAGAAAATCCGCACGTCACCTACGTTCTGACGACCCAAGACACTGCGTCTGTGGAGGCAGCCCAAATATCCTCGAAAGAGCGCCCCCCAGGAGAAACAAGCTCGATCACTATGCCATCATCAAGTTCCCCCTGACCACTGAGTCAGCCATGAAGAAAATAGAAGACAACAACACACTTGTGTTCATTGTGGATGTCAAGGCCAATAAGCACCAGATCAAACAGGCTGTGAAGAAGCTCTACGACACTGACGTGGCCAAAGTCAACACCTTGATCAGGCCTGATGGAGAGAAGAAGGCATATGTTCGACTGGCTCCTGACTATGATGCTTTGGATGTTGCCAACAAAATTGGAATCATCTAAACTGAGTCCAGCTGGCTAAATCTAAATTAAATTTTTTTCACCAAAAAAAAAAAAAAAAAGACAACTTCCTTCCCCTTGTCTTTCCTCTTTCCCTCTCTTCCCTGAACCCATTCTCAGCTCTTTAAACCACCTATAATTTCCTGTGTCCTCTCCCCTGTCAGGTAAAACCCGTTGTCACACAGTCACACAGAGGTCGTGAAAGAAGAGAAACGCTTGCAGTCTCTGTCCTCCTTCGGGATTTGTCTTCTACACGGGGACGAAGCCCCGACTGTGGCACGCCAGGCGGAGGCCCGCAGCTTTCCCCAGCCTGACCTCTCACCACACGGGCAGCTGCACGCGCCAACAACCCCTGCTTTTCTCACGCCATACCCCAACGGTGGCAGCAGGGCCAACGGGGCCCCTGTACCCCCGGGGCTCCTTTCACCTCCTTATCCAGTTTGCTCACTCTGCCAGGAACATTCCAGGCCAAATACTCGGGTGCGCCCATCCCAGGACCAAGCACTAAGGTGTCACAAGGTAGGCAGTGGAGGCTCAGGGGCCAAGAGAGGTACATCCACGTGGTGTCTCACACTGACAGCTGGCTGTACGGAGCCTCGGGATGTTTATTTAAACATCAGCGTAATTCCTTCTTTTTGGCCAATGTGCTAATCTTAAAGCTGTTGTACACAGTTCAATACTCCGACAGGGATTTTCCATGTCATGAGAGCTCTTATAGTCTACCTGAGGCTCTCTGCATGAAGGGCATTATCCAAGTCACAGAGTACTGCTGTAAGAGAGCCCGCACTTCTATTACTGGAAAAATGTTGGGCTTGGGGTAATTTTCAAATCCAATTCACAAATCTCTCCATATTCCAATTCCACGGCTTATGTTTTTCCTGTTGGGCATTACCTAAACTTGGCAGGCCAGGTTGCAATCCGGGAAGAATAACGCAATATTGTGTCAGTTTAGACAAGTCATTGGATCAAGACGGTCTATTTAAAATTCCTCACTTCCAGCCAGTATAATTGGCTGCCTCCAAGGAGGGGTCTGGAATGGACAGGAGTTAGGGGAGCTAGACTCAGCACTGCAGACCACCATGAACCTCTGTATGCCTTTGGACTTTGGTTCCATGTTCATGTGTTCACCTACTCAAAGAGATCTTTTTTTAATGTAATGATTGATTATATGCTATGTGTATTTTATCACAATAAAAAAAGTGAATGCCCCACTTCTAATAATGAATGAGATGATGAAAAAGTCTGAATAGTGGGAAGAGAACTGGGCTACAGGTGTCAGAAAGCCTGGATTTCACTCCTGGCTCTGCCTACCAGTGGGACCTGGGCAAATTCATCAATCTTTCTGCGTCTCAATTTTCTGCTCTATAAAATAAGAGGGGTACTATTCGTGGTTGTTCAGGTCCTTTCTGCTCTAGAAGTCTGTGATTTTATGAAAAGACACTCTTTCACCTCGCTTACAGTAACTCTGATCAGCTGGGCTTTTTTTTTTAATTACTAAATAAAAAAACAAGAATCTTAAATTTCCTAATCCTTTTAAGGTTCACAGGTGACTGCTAGTTTATAATAAGGTTTCAGGCTAATAATAATAAGCTGGAAGGACTTTTGCTCAGAGTTTTCTTATAAACAATGGAGAAACGTAGACAAACTGACCGTCCACCATGTTCCGCTGCTTATATTTTAAGGAGGTTAGAAACATATCAATTTTCACGATTAGAAAAACAATTCATTTTTGTTCATCCAAAGCAGGTTGCTTGCACATTCATGTGGCTCAAAAAAACTTGGATGATATTTTATACACCTATGGTTTTAAAGAAACTCTCAGTTTCTGCCTAGTTTAAAATGTGTTCAGCAAAATTCTGCCCATGTGCACCCACTGTAAAACTATTCTTCTCACAGGAAAGGACTACATAAATCTCTT